GAGTTCTACATCCAAATCTTCAGGCAGCAAGAAGAGAGAGGAAGAGACACTGGGCCTGGCTTGGGCATTTGAAGCCCCAAAGCCCCCTGCCCTCCAGTGACACACTTCCTCCAGTGCCACATCTACTCCAACAAGGCCACACCTCTTAATCCCTGTCAAGTAGTGACTCCCTAATGACCAAGCATTCAAACACATGAGCCTATGGGGGCCATTCCTATTCAAACCACCACAGTCTCACTCTCTAACTCTGGCTGTTAGAGTCTGGAGCTCACTATGTAAACCAGGCTGGCCTTGAACTCACAGAGATCCACCCGCCTACACATCCCAAGTGCTGGGACTAAAGGCCTGAGCTACTACAACCAGCTTTTTCTCTTTCTTTCTTTTTTTTTTTTCATTTCATCACATTTTTGTGTGTTTATTGGCCAGTTATATTTTAGAGAAACGTCCATTCTGATCTTGGCTTACTTCTAATGGCACAATATTTATATTATTGATGTTTTAATAGCTGTTTATATATTCTAGACTTTCATACCCTCTGAGATACCTAATTCACAAGCATATCTCTCCCATTCTATAGATTGTCTCTTCTATTCCTTCATTGTTTCCTTTGGTGCAAATGGATTATTAAATTTTATGTTTATCTGTTTTTCTCTAGTTTCTCATGCTTTTGTTGTCATATCCAAGAATTGTTTGCCAAATCAGAAGTCATGAAGTCAAGCATTACTGAACTCAGTTCACTAGCATTGTATCGGGAGGCTTTGCTCTAATAAATATTGAACTGTATTTTTTTTCTTGTAACATTTTTGTCTGGTTTTGGTATCTGGGTAAGGATGGCCTTATACATTGAGTTGGTAAGCATGCTCACTTGTACTATTATTTTTGAGAATTTTGTGAAAATTGACATTATTTCATGTATATGTATGTATATATATATATATACATATATATATAATTATTTTAACTATACAGATGAATTGCCTTATGTCCACTCATACATTGTGTAACTGTCACCATCCTCTCCAGAACTTTCTTCATCCTCCAAAACTGAAATTTTGTACCTATTAAAGTTATTTATTCTTTAAATGTTTGGTACAGTTCATCAGTCTTGTGCTAGATTTTTCCTGTTTTTTATTAGTCATTCAACAATCTCTTCACTAGTGATAAATCTGCTGAGAGGTTCTGATTACTCCTGGGTCTGTTTGTTCAGTTTTGTGTATTTCTAAGAATTTGTGTGTTTCATGCAAGATATCCAATTTCCTAATATTCCTTGATAATTGTATTTCTATAGGGTCTATAGTAATGCCCCTCTTTCATTTCTGATTTTAGTATTTTGAACTTTCACCTTCCAGCCTCCCTTCCTTGGTCATTCTAGCTGAAGACTCTTGTATTTTGTTCATCTTAAATAATAAATAAATAAATAAATAAATAAATAAATAAATAAATAAATAAATAAATAGAGTATGGCCTCTTTGACTTTCTCTATTGCCTTTTGAGTCTCTAATTCCACACATGTCTATTCTAATCCTTTTCCTCCCTTCCTTCTTACACAGACTTCAGTTTGATCTCCTCTTTCCAGGATTCTAAGGTAGAAACTATTTGTTGGCTTGAGATCTTTTTAAAAAGAATATAGATACTTAAAGCTGTAAACATCCCTTAACTACTACATTAGCATCATCTCACAGGGTCTGATATGCTGGTTTTCACTTTAACCCATTTCAACATATGCTTGAATTTCCCCTGTGCCTTTTGCTCCAGTTTGTTATTTATTTCTTGATTTGTTGCCTACTTCCTACATTTTTTCACAAATTTCTTGGTGTTACTCACTTCTAATCTTCCTTGTAATCAAAGAACATAGTTTGTACAATTTTGATCATTTTAAATAAAGTGGGGCTCATTTTGCAGCCTAGCTTATGAACCATTCTGGAGAACGTTCCATTGTGCTAGAGAAGAATGCATATTCTGTCAGGTGGAGTGTTCGGTGGGTAAATGTTAGGTCAAAGTTGTTTATAATTTTGTTCGTCGAGTCTTGTATTTCTTCTGCTTAGTTGTTTGTTTGTTGCCTGGCTGGCTCATTCCTTGGTTTGTGAGAGGATCTCACTATGTAGCTGAGGCTGGACTTGAACTTATGATTCTCCTGTCACTGCTTCTCAAATCCTGGGATTACAGGTATGTGCCACTACCCCTGGCTTCTACCTAATCTTATAGAAAATGGAGCGTTGAAGTTCCAGCAGCTGTTGTACTGTGTCAATTTCCTCTCAGTTTTTTAGCCTTTGCTTAATGTATTTTGGGACTCTCTTATTAAGTGAATATATGTTTACAGTTTTGTGACTTCCTGGTGGATTAGTCATTTTATTATAAAATGTCCCTTTTATTTCTAATGACATTTTGTTTTAAAGTCTCTTTTTCTTAATTATTACAGCCACTCCAGCCATCTTATAATTATGTTTTCATAGTATCTATTTTTCCATCCTTTCACTCTTAACTCTGGTTCCCAAATGAGATGCCTGCAGACAGTAACATAGTTACAGTTTTTGCCCAGACTGAGAGTCTCTGCCTCTTGGTCAGGTTGGTTAATCAGATCACATTCAGCATGACCATTGATACAGCTGTATTTACGTATGCCAATTTACTTTTTGTCTGTGTGTCTCATGTCTTTCCCCCTTCTATTTTTACTTTTTGCTATAACTAAATACTTTGAGTGTAATATTTTGATCCATTTAAAAGATTTTTCCACTGCGTTTATTTAGTGATTTTTCTAGGGCTTACCACATACATCTTACCAAAGCTATCTCATATTTATACAGACTTAATCCCAGTAAGAATTAACTGACACTCTTTCATAACTCAGTTCTGTCTTCCCTCTCCCCTATGATTGTAATCCCCTCCGCAGCTTCTTATTCATCTCCTGACTTAGTGAAGGAACCACAGCCCAGAGAGAGCCTGCCTCAGTTACATATTGGCGTGTGCGTTATCTATTATCTTTGAGTCACAATGTCCTCACACTACATGGGAAGACTTGAATGAACATAACCTCCAAGATGAAGTAAGATCTTAGCACTGAGCCTACACATAGTAGGGCCTCTGAAAAGTGGCCAGCGTTTGTCCTCACAGAATCCCAGGAATCCATTTACATCAGCATTCTCATGTCAGAGCAACAAGAAGTGTGCGTGTGGGCTGGAGAGATGACCAGTGGTTAAAGCACTTGCCACACAAGTTTGAGGACTGGAGTCCCAACCCTCTGAACCCATATAAAAGCTGGGCAGGTGGGCAGGCCATAGAATTCCAACCTCATGAGTCAGAGACAGAGAATCCCCAGAGTAAGGTGGCTACTGAAACTAGCCATAGCAGCAAGCTCTGGGTTTGATTGAAGACCCTGCTTTGATGAATAAGGTGGAAGAGTAATAGAAGACAGTTCTGAACATCAGCCTCAGGTTTCCACATGCATGCACCCCATGCTCACGTGTGCCTACATACATACATACATACATGCACACATACATACATACATACATACATACATACACACACACAGGAATGCGCACAAAAGAGGCATGCATGCCTAGCTAGGACCATGGGGTGCACATCCCACCAAGGGAGTTTTTTATACTGAACTTCAATCAAAGTGTGGGTATCAGGTGTGGATAACAGTGACACACTCCCTACTGATGATTATCAGTGTGCTGCAAAAGCATGAGCCAAAACTGCTGCTAAGCGTGTTCCAGTTCCAGCTAAGCTCCCAAATTCCTCTTTTACCCACCTCTCCTTACTAGGGACTGAGTGCGGTGGGGCTTTAGGGTAAGTGCTGGGAAGGACTTTGAAGAGAAAAGCAGCCACCATTGACTGGTGGGCGTAGAGACCCTCGGATGGGATAAAAAGCCTTTCTCCAACTACCCAGGCAGGTCTCCATTCAAATTCCACTTCTTTACCACCCAAGGCAGAAGCCTTGCTCTTGCAACTTGAACCCTCCCTGGCATTTTCCCATCTGGTCTCAAGTCTGGATCCATTCACACCATACACATATTAGGCACCTTTGATATACCCGGCCTGGTTGTTGGACATGAGGACACAAAAGGTTATCAAATGCAAGGCCTAGAAACCTCATACAATCCTAAGCAACAGGTGCAGCTAACGTGGGCTGTGGGCAGACAAGTGGAAATCTCTCTCAGAACAGAGCCCAGAAATGACCTGACTTCCCACCAAGCTTGTCATGCCCCTGAGGTCCAAGAAGTCTGTGAATCTGTGTCCCACTGTTGTCCAGAGGTTGGAAATACACCTTAGGGAAGTCTCCCACTGAGGGCCAGGGTTGCTAGAGAGGGACATCTGGACTTGGGAGCCACATCTCCAGCTTAGCTCTGCCACAGAGTAACTAGTTAGCTGTGGGATAGACTCTTCCAGCATTGAGCCCCACCTCCCTTGTCTATGATGAGGAAGGGATACCTGCACCACCACCCTCAGCGAGCCAGAGGAATTCTGTGGTACTCACTAAGATGATGGCTATTCCCTGAGCCATGTGGCAGGTGCCTGTGGCTGCTCTGGCTGATTTGAACACCTCTCTGAGACCCTTGCCCCAAGTGCTTATACCTGCCTTCTGCATACCTCTTGCCCCTTCCCAAGACTTTGGTAAAGATGTTTCAACCTGACATCTTGGTGGAAGAGAGTCCTGGTCTACCACTAAGATTCTTGGGTTTGAGCCTCAGCTCTGCCTTGAGCAGGTCCATTGCCCTATCTGAGTTTTCCTATCTGTGGGCTAGTGGGGCTCTTGGTGCAGAAGGGCCAGGAGAAATGAAGGAGGATAGCCTACAAACACCAGAAGCCCCTGCAGGCAGTTGGGTGGAGTCTTGCTTCCCTCCCCCACAGCAGGAGCAACCAAGATGAGAAGCCTGATCCTGACTCTCCTCTATTTACTTAAGGATATATGAATCCCAGGATGGTGGGGTTGAAGGAGGAAGGTGTGTGGCAAGCCTGAGACCCAGCTCAGTGTCCCCTCTCTCTGTCCGCAGTAGCACGGTACAACCGCACCAGCTACTTCTACCCCACCACATTCTCCGAGAGCTCTGAGCACAGCCACCTGCTGGTGTCTCCGGTGCTGGTGGCAAGTGCTGTCATAGGTGTGGTCATCACCCTCTCCTGCATCACCATCATTGTGGGAAGCATCAGAAGGGACAGACAAGCCCGTATCCAGCGACACCACCATCGCCACCGCCGCCACCATCACCATCACCGCCAGCACCGGCGCCGACACCGAGAATACGAGCAGGGCCAAGGTGAGCTCTGGGTTATACTACTCCTGCCACTGTGACTGACTTATGGAGGTGTACAAGGGGGTGGCAGCTCTGCCATGGGGTCAGGAAAGTATCCTGGTCCATCAGGAAGGGTTCACAGACATCCACTATCATGTCCCCCACAGCATGAAAGGCCTGTAGTCTGTCAAGAGAAGGACTTGGGGAGAGGCTGAAGGCCAGATGGAGAGTGTGTCATACTCCTCAGCCACTGCCACTGTTGGTTCATGCTGTGCCGACATAGGTCCAGCTGGCATCTGGATGGGAGGATGGATGGATAGAGAGATGGAGAGATGGAGGATGGAAAGATGGATTTGTGAGTAGGTGGCTAGGGGGGTGATAGGATGAATGGAGAGATGGTTAGGTGGGTGGGTGGGTAGAGAGATAGGTGGATAGACAAATGGAGAGATGAGTAAGTAGAGAGATGAGTGAAAATGGATGCGTAGAGAGCTGGAAGACTGGGTGAGTGGATGGATGACTGGATAAATGGACAGATAGACAGGTGGATGCATGGATAAATAGAAGGATAAGTAATGTAGATGAGCAGATGGATAAGAAAGGGACAGGCGAGTGGGTATAAGTGGAGATATGGATGACAGGAGAAATAAATGAGTTCAAAGATTGATAGATGAGTGAATGAATGGACACAGAGAGAGATTGGTGAGTAGACTAGACCAGTAGAGGGATGAGTGCATAAGGGATTGAATGCATAGATCTGTGGATAGATGGGTGGAGGGGATGGATGGGTAAATGGGTATGATGGATGGATAGACCAATGGAGAAACAGAGAAATGGGGGGCAGGAGGATGGATATATGGGTGGACTAAGTGGCATGCTTGAGTGACATAGAGGGGCTAGGTGAGTAAAGGATGGAAAGATGGATAAATGAGAACTTAAGGCACAGGTGGAGTGTAAATAGAATGAGTAGGTATATACATAGATGTATGGATGATAGAATGAATGATCAGTGAAAAATATATCACTGAGAGCCCACAAAGAAAAAAAACAAATTATTTCAGGGTTTCTTGTCCTACAACAGTGGCTACTGGGGCAGGGGACCAGTCCCAGGAGTGTCCATCTTGTCAGAATGCATGAACTTTTACAGAACATGGCCACCTGACTCTATCCCATTCCTGGCAGAGACCACAATGTTCTAAATGAAGCAGAATGGGTTGATTCTGAGACAGTGTTCCATGGCAGGAACAAGGCCCATGGGAGTCTTTACTGGGGCAGCCAGGGCCATTACCCAGAGTGAAGACCACCTGCCCCCAATTGGGGGGGGGAGGCAGGCTTGGCTTATAGAGTGCAAGACCCTGGGGGGGTGGCTCTTACTATAGCTCAAGTTTTATGTGGGATCTGAATGGCCTTCCCCATCCAAGGCAGGAGGAGCCTGGGAGCAAGAAAGAACCAGCAGGGCCAGCCACCTGTTAGCAGTTAAGGGACACCTGAAGCTAACACAAAGGGCTGGTGGGTAAGAGCACTTACCTGTGCCTGGAACTTCCTTTGTATTATTTCATTTTGCAGAATCCTCTTCCTAACTGTCTTGAATAGCTAGCTCTGCTCCCCACCCCAATTTGCTGATCCAAAATTGAGACTGGAGCAGTTGAACAATGAACCTGGGGCCATCCTCGTGTAAGAGGCAGATAGAGATGTGAGCCCTGGTAGCTGACCTGTGTGCACTCAGACTGATCCCTGCACAGCCCTAAAGGGCCACCAACTTAGGGCTATGTCCAGCAGACTCTGGGATGCTAAGGGCCCTTCAGACCTAGATGCTGCTCCTCTGGGAAAGTCTAGAGAGAAGCAAGAGACCAGGCCTTAGATAGTGCTGGGAGGTCTGTCATCTGTCAGGGAGATAGAGTGGCGATGGAAGAAAGATGGCCAGTTAGTGACATGCGCTGAACCAGCTAGGATTAGAAAGAAAGGTCAGCAGTTTTGTATGGACCAGCAAGGAAGCTCAGCCAGCCCAGGCCTCGAGTCTCCCAGGGGCTAAGCTCTCCCTCACAGACAAGAGTAGAGCCCAGACCAGGCTGACATGACCTATGCTCCCATGAGGAGCCTGGGTACTACCTTAACTGTCCCCCTACCCCGGATGATGCTAGGTAGACCCAGTACACCCCTCATGCCCCCCTGCTCCTCCGACTCAGCACCTACTGCCCGTCCCCATGCACCTGATGTGGCTCCTTCAGCATCCACCCTTTCGAACATGCTTTCCTTCTGCCCAACCACTGTTCTGAAGCTGCCCAGGCCTGACTCAAAGGCTGCTTACTTCCTTTGGGAAACTTCTCCAGCCCTCCTTATCACTACCAGGGAAGTGAAATGGAAATCTTCTTCTTCCTTGCTCTCATACCCACACCTCCAGCCTTAGTCACAGGGGTGGCATCCATGAGACTACAACCTATATGTGGTTCACCCCACCTGCACTCAGACCAAAGAAGGTTTTCCAGGGCCTATGGAAAGAGTGATCTTCATGAGTCTTTGTGGCAAGGCTTAGAACCAGGGCGGGGACTACAGTTCCCAAGCCGGGGTATGGGGGTGGGGTTGCAGAAGGAGGTACAGTAACCTCCAGCTCTGCATGTGGACCCATCCTGTGCCTGAGCCCAGAGATTCTTCTGGACAACACTGGCAATACAGGACCCCAGCTCCAGTGCCCAGTAACCATGGCCTAGCTTCTGTTCTGTTGTTTGTCTCATCTCTCCTGGCTTGTTTCTCCTACATTGTTCCAAAGCTCCCATCTTACAGCTGACACCCCGAAGGGGAATAAATCTCAGTTCAGCTCCTCTTGCACAAGTGATTTCTAGCAGAAAAGCAATATGTAGTCATTGTAGAAAACCTTAAAAATATAGACAATATGAAGGATAAAATAAGGGTCATGACCTGCCAGATGGGCAGAGCCACCAATAATAAATGGATGTATTTCCTCTGAGAGTTTTCTTAGTTCCCATGAATAACCCCAGAATTGGGCCTGTGGATAGGGTTCCTGGTCTATACTCTTCTATTGCTGTTGGGTCAAGAGGAAGGAGAAGTCTGTATGAGGAGTGGGAACTAGTCTCTGGAGTCACATGTGTGCCGAGCACGTCTCTTCTCCCACAGTCCTGTACCAACTTATTAAAGCTTAACACATACCATCCAGTGCCAAGGCTGCCCTGGGCTAAGCTGTCACCCATCCTGGAAGCTCCTCAAGATAGGTCCAGCCTTGTCTCCTCCCTGTGACCCCACTCCCAGAACAGCACAGTGCTCACAATCTGGTGGCGTTGCCTGGGATAGAGACAGCCGTGCCTGGTAAGGGGATGGTCGCGTGGGGACTTCCGAGCCTCAGATGGACTGCTGCTGTGAAGGAAATCCCTAGCCCTGCCTACACTTACGTTCTCTGCAGCATCTGACGGACATATGCACAGCCACTCCAGTCACAGGATGCCCTACGCCTGTAGCCCTGCTGAGGACTGGCCCCCGCCCTTGGACATCAGCTCTGATGGGGATGTGGATGTCACAGTGCTCAGGGAGCTGTACCCAGATTCTCCACCAGGGTAAGGGGGCCTCATGAGGGGGAGAGAAGTGGACCCTCTGGATAAAAGGATCTCTCACCCAGGGAAAGAACCTCATTCCCCCAGGATCCAGTGGGCATGGCCACAGCCTCTGCCCTCTGACCAAGCAAGTCCCCTTGAAGATGGGCATGACTCAGGAAATGTCACCAGGATGGACTACAGAGACCAGCTGGGATTCCAGGCTGGTGGGTGGTGGGGAGGGAAGACTTGTAGTTTGGGGGTGGTCTCATGACAGTTTTGGGGAGCCCCTATAAATTCCTCCAGGGATCTCCCTTGGGGCAAGAATGGTGGGATATTCAGGATCATGACCATGGGATCAGTGTCCATTTAAGGAGAAAAATCTCTTGAGTTCCTATTTGTGACACCAGGAATCCATGCCCACCATGAGATCAGTCTTTCTCACACATTGCAGCCGCAGCCAGAGTCCCCAGGCTTGGCTAGCCTCTATCATCATTGGTGTGCATGAGACCCTGCCTTTCTAGTCCTGTCCCCAACTTCTCATACTCTTGCCTTAGGCCATCCGGGTCCCAATCTGTTAGCCCAAGCAGGGTAGGCTTTCATCAGCCCACCCCTGTCTGATAGGAACCTAGACAGCTCTGACTCACAGTGAGCCCCCATTTCCTCCCAGACTCCATCCCTGTGCACCTCTACATCAGTCAAAGTAGCCCCTGTTGGCCCTGTCGTTTAGATGAACCACAAGGACAAAGGGGGCACCTTACAGAGCCTGAATCCTTCCCCATACAGGCTAAAGCAGCTGAACTCCTTGGGGGCCAGGGAGGTGATGTTCTCAGGGCACACCCTCAGGAGCTAAAGGATTCTGGTCCAGCTCTGAACCATGCCCCCAACTAACCACAGTGCCTTCTTCTTACCAAGAAAATCCAATAAATTGGATGACCTATCCTACTTTACACAAGGAAATAGATTGTAGAGCCTGAGGAAGAGGAGTTAAGTCTAATGCTCCAGGAGACTCAAGGACAGTGGTCAGACAAGGGAGAGGTATGGATGGACGCTTGCTGAACACTAGGCCTCTGCTCTTGGAGTGGAGCATCTAGAGCCCCATATAGCCCCAGATTCCAAGACCCTCCCATTGGGACAGGAATTATCATGGCCAGCCTTCACTGGAGCATCAGACCCCATGAAGTGACAGTGCCTCCTTGGGCATTTGAGTTGTCCCAGCCACCTGCAGTGCCCATCATTTAGAGCAGGGGATGAAAGTCCTGTCACTTCCCCACTGCAGACCCTAGACCTGGCAAATGTCATTTCTCCCTCCCACCAGAGGCACCAGGAGAAGCAGTAGATGCTCTTAGCTCTACAGGTACCGTTTCAGGGGCCCCAGGGGCTCCTTCCTAACCCTACAAGACATTTCAGGGGGTCCTATCACAGTGCCCAGCCATAGACTATTCCTAGACAGTGGCTGCTCTTGCTCCAGGGAATCTAAAACCCCCAGGGAGAAAGATGTAGGGATTTGCTTGGGTTCACATGGGATGTGAAGTAAAGTTGACCCAGGACCCATGTCTTAAGGGTATCAGACTATCCTCCCTGGGGACTAATGTGGTCTCATAGGAGCCAGCACGTGTGAGGCTGGCCGTCTTCCACAATGAGGGCAGCTCCTCACCACACAGAATAGACTCTTCCACCTGCCCTAAGGTCTTGGGATCCATAACCTGAGTGAAAACTCTTCTCTCGCAGCTATGAGGAGTGTGTGGGACCAGGGGCCACTCAGCTGTACGTCCCCACGGATGCACCACCACCCTACTCGCTGACTGACTCCTGCCCCGTGCTGAATGGTGCCCTCAACTCAGGCAGCGGCCAAGGCCACAGCCAACATCAGCAGGAGCAGAGGACCCAGGGCCAGAGTGGCCTCCACGCTGTCTCCATGGACACGCTGCCACCTTATGAAGCTGTGTGTGGAGCAGGCTCCCCATCTGACCTGCTGCCCCTGCCAGGACCAGAACCACAGCCACCTAACTCCCAGGGCTCACCTACCCCAACCCAGGCTCCGACTGCCAGCCCTGAGAGGATTGTGTGAGTGACCCAGCCCGTAAGTCCTACTGGTCCTTCTAGGCTACCCTGTCTCCTCCAGGCACACAGGTGCACACAACTCATGCACATGCATTTATATGAGAACACACAAACACTGGCATCCCCCAAATGCACACACTGACACATGCCACACACATAGAGACACCTGTGCATACGTAGGTCCCACTCCCACAAAAACTCGCCTGGGAAGGTTTTCTGTAGATGAAGTGCCCCCATCTGGTGCCTCTGCCCCGAAGCCTTGCACCTGGTGGTAGCACCTCTCTGAGCAGTGCTGGGCAGAGGTGAGGTGGGAATCCCTACTTTTTTCCCTCTCCCCCAGCCTCCTCTAGGCTGTGGCCACGATCTGATTCTCCTGCAGAAACTGTTTGGCCCACTTCTTGCCACAAGCCCTTACCCTACCCTAGGGCTTGTCCCACTGGGAGCTGAGGCAGGTCCCAGTGAGGCCCCACCATGCACTGTGCCTGTCTTTCCACTCCAGGTCAGAAGAGCCACAGTGTCATCACCCTGCCACTTACAGGGTGGAGAAACCGGTCTGGTGGCCTGGGCATGACCTGGAGGTCCTCACAGCCCACTGAGCCCCTTGCTGTCTCCATGTCCTCAGTTTGGCGGTGCTAGTGGGGTTAGCTCAGACACCCACCCCAAGTGGCAGGGGGAGGACAGGCCCTTGGGCATGTGTCATGGAGGAGGGTCACAGTTCTTCCCATGTCCACGCCAGGATTGGGAGTTCAAGGAAGACAAGGTATGGGTCGCCTCAACACAGGGCTTCCTAGACACTCCTCAGCGGCACAGAAGGGCCCGCTGCTCAGTAAGTGCCCAGCCAGCCCTGCTAGCCTGAGTCCAAGAGGTCTCAAGCTAACCCAAGAGCCAGTGCTGTTATCCAGGGTGGCAACTCACAGCTGGGGACTGAGGTGATGAATTCTGGCCTTGCCTCTCTGGGACATACGCAGAGACAAAAATAAAAAGAATATGGACCCCACCGAAAACACCATGCCACTATGAGAAGACTAGTGTCTGCGGTCAACATCCTGTCACCTGTCACGGAAGCAGGCATGTGGGGACAGCGGGCTGGAGAAAGGCTCAGATACTGGCCTGTGAACTCCAGCAATCTCCATCAAAGACTGTGTAAGGTGACAGAGGTGATCTTTGAAGAGCCAGCTTGCCAAAGGTGGTGGCTAAGCATCTCCGAGGAGAGCCCTGCCAGCACTGCCGCTGACAGGGAGCAAGACACCCTGCCTCCCCCACTCCCCATCTTTTGTCACTCGTCCCAAAGCAGCAGACCCACCCCCACTGATCCTCCTCCCACATTTCAACTTCTCCAATGAAGGGCTAAGACAATTCAGCACCCCCTTTCTTAAGCAGAGGGGTGGCAAGGACGGCTACCTTGAATTTTATTTTCTATAGAAATCGCATTTATTCTGATGCAGAGTCCAAAGGGACCCACCCCCAGGTTCTGTAGCATCCTGCAAGTGGCATCCTAGAGTCACAGTCTCCACCTGGGGGAGGGAACCTTGTTTACAAGCAGTTCTGCCTACCTTTGTGGTGTTCTGCTTTCTAGGCAAAAATATGTCTGTTGTACTGTATAGCCTTTCAAATGCACCCCAGGGATGAGAGTCTTTCAAGAAATGCAGTCTGTTTCTGTGGCTCTGGAACGTGCTGGGGGAAGAAAAACCATCCCTGCCTACTCATCATGTTGGAGGGATCTACAGAACAGCGGTTCTCCTTCCCAGATTGAGCTGAATAAGCAGCAATGTATCTTTTCTGTGTTCAAAATAAATACATCATATCAACAAAGATGTAGAGAGAAGTAACACTTGCAAGGAGTGCGTGGGGGCCCTGCAGGTTTCCTGACGGCTGCAAACGGAGAGGAAAAGAACCCCTAAATGGAAGCAATCTTAAATCTGCCTCTGAAAGTTGACGTGTCAGCTGGCTGCTCCTCAGGTCTGAGCCCGTGAGGCCAGGTTGTGCTCTGGCAGATGGGGACATCTGCATAGTCAGTGTCCTGGGAGTGCCTTTTTGGTATCTCTGCTTCCTTAGTTCCTGGAGACACCTATTAGTCTAGATTAGCCAAGTCCCCAAAACCTCCTGTGTCTACCTCCCAGCCCATACTATGGTACCTGGCTTTTTTTGCGGTACTGGGGATCTGAACTCACGCATGCCCGGCAGGCACCTTACTGGCTGAGCCATCTCCCCAGCCCCCTTTTTACATTTTTGTGAAACATAGCGTGACTTCAAGGCCTGTCCGATAGTAGTGTGACTACGATAAGCAACCAATCTCAGGACTTGAGTCCAAGCACATCGGGTACCACCACCTTTTGGCCTTCAGTACTCTGAAGGCGTTTCCTTCCCAGAACAATAGGAAATGCCATTCAGACAGAAATGTGCTTTTTGTTCCTCTCTGCAGAAACACTCCTCTTTCCTATCACCCTTCAGACGGAGGCTTTTCCTGGTGACCTCTTTTCAGATGGAGCCTGACTTCCTTTCTTGTACAAGTTTCCCTTCCACTAGAATTCCATGCACTAGCATAGGCCTAGCTCCCAAGATCACGCCCTGAAATTGGGGTGTCAACCTAAACAAGCAGGGGCAGGGGTGGGCAATTGTGAGCCAAACCTGCAGGCTCCTTCTGGAAAGCCCATGTCTGTGCTGGAGAAATGTAGGCCTGCTGGCCAGCACTGTCCACACTCAAGCCCACACTGCCACCTGCTGGCTCCCTGCAGCCACTGTTGATTGTCAGAGTCCACACTAGAAAAGTGAGGCCACTCCTGCCTGCCATGGGACACTCAGAGCTGTATGCTGAACTTCACACTTGGATCCTGGGCTTGTCTTCTGCCACTGAGATGTTCTATGAAGATGAACCTGTTTGCTCATTTTCTAGAGGAGACTCTATCCCTCAGTCCTGGTTTCTGGGAATTCCTGTTGGCTATGAATTCCTCTCTATATGCAAAATACTTACCTTCTCCCCCACCCCCCCATTTTATATGTTCCTGGGCTCCACTCTGGAGTTCCTCCTCCTTCATGGTGATGGTGTCCAGCCACTTGCTGACTCCTACCCAGACCACCTACACTGACACTCAATCTAAGTTCCTGGGACTATCAACCTCATGGTTCTCCCTATCTCTTCCATCCACACACTCCTTGGGCTGTGGGCATCATGGTCAAGACTGTGCGATCCTACAAGGAGTTGACTCTTCTTTTCCAGGAAACAAGGCCCAAGGAGAACAGCTGGGTGCCTGAAATCCCCAGGAGATGGGATGTGATGGTCCACCATTCAGATGGTATGCTAGGAGGGAGCAGGACCAGAACCTGGAACACAACCATACTGTCCAAAGGGCTGGGTAGGGATGTAGTAGCCTCAGGGCAGTGAAAGGAGGAGGAGGAAGCCTGGGAGAATGTGGGCCACTAACCTCTATCCCACTGGCAATCCAAGAGACAATAATGTTACACCATGCCTTGAAGTCAGGCTTTCTGAGGTGACAGATCTGTGTCACTCATACCTGGCTCTCAGCAGCACTGTTTGGAGGCTTCCTTTTACAGAGTACTGGTTCCTGCCATGCAGGCTCTTCTAACCAGAGAAGGACTTCATACCAGGAAGCCACAGCTGTTGGCAGACAAAGCCATACAGTAGCTGAGTCATTATGGATGGACACAGGAAGTCCCAGGCTTTGGATAGCACCAAAGGCCTCTGCTACAGCTGAGTGACAGGCCTCACCCAAGCAAAGAGGGAAGAACAAGACATTAGTAAGGCTACGGCAGGCAGTCCATGGCCACCTCATGCAACATCTACCATCACTGGGTTAAGCCTGCTTTCATGCAAACCAAGTTTGTATAGCTAGGTATCACACACACACACACACACACACACACACACACACACACACACACACACACAACCCACCATTGCTTAACTCCCACCTCCTCTGGCTTCATACACATTTACTCAGACAGCCTTGGTGCCCACACTAATACCTCTTGAATGCAGGGCTTCCATCTGTACACCCAGGTGTTGCACATACTGATGCTTGTATGTTCCTGTCTTCATCCTCTGACATTTAACATGGCTGTCCAGGGACTGGACATGAGCAGAAAGGCCACAGCTTTATTATCGGAGGGAGATCTAATGTCCTGGGTTCTGTTCTGCTGAGCTGCATATTTCCCAAGCCCAAGCTAACTCTCTGGAGCCCAGGAGCCCTTATCTAGGCAAGGCTAGTGGACCTGAGCTTGGAGGCTCGGCAGACCTTTGTCCAGAGGCTGTAGCATAGCTGTGTCTGCCCAGCATATCTCCAAGAAATCCCAAGGTGGCAGCCCTGTTATCACAGCCTCAGCCACAACATTGCCACACTCAGCATGACACCTCAGGGCCTGGGGAGCAACTGTAGGGCAATATAGGTTGTTATTTATTGAAAAGGAGAGCTTGACCCCCTGACAGGTTCTGAGCACCAACCATCACCCTCCCTTTTATTCAATTGCAAGAGGCAAGAAAGAATACTTACTGGTTCACGTACCTAAATTATCCAAGTGGTAAATCAGATTTTAGGTATGGGTGGATCCAGAAAATCAAAGGACATGGGTTGGTATACTGTCTCTCTGGACTCTGACCACCTCATTGTCTCCATTCTCCCATTAGAAAAATGGTGGTGGACATCCCATGTCCGAGTTGGCTGGTTCCTGAGCCAAAATGATGAGAGACCCTCTCTCTCTGCCAGAAAGCAAATATAAGTATCTCACAGAAATCAGAATGGCCTGAACAGGACTTTCCTGGAGCCTCTCAGTGGTTGTGGCTGGGGGCAAGACAAGGGGGTCTCTGATTATCTCTGGCCAGAGGACATATGCCACTCTAAGGAAGGTGAACCAAATATTCTATCCTGGGACGGATTTTCCAAAAGAGAGGATGAGATAAAGAGGACTATACACTCACAAGAACATCGGGCTTTAGTCTGTTTCCTCTACCCTAACCATCATCCTACCCACATGTCCAATCTACCACTCTGCCCATCTTGGCCCTCTCCACCATGCCCTACCCACCCTGGCTCTACCCACCAGCCATCAGTCTCAGTGATCACCAACTAGAGGTAAATAGTGACCACGTGGTGATGAGGACAAATGCCCAGAAAGGCAAGGCAGGAGGTGATTGCTAACCGAGGCCCATAGCAGATGAAGAAGTCAGAATTGGCCTCCAGGTAGGCACCATTTTGAATCCATCCTGACTCTTACCCCCAAGGTTTCTCTGTTGGGGGGAAGGTGGTGGAAAGGGGTGTTGTGCCCAGAGAGGCTCAGCTCCAATGTCCATCGTGCCTAGCTACAGGGAAATAACCAGACTCCATCCTAAAGCCATTCTATAAGTTCTGGATGTACAAGATATCCCTCACAGTCATCCACAGTTATTATACAGCTTTGCTTCTGAAAAGGAACATAAATTTGGACAAAGGTCTAAGGCACGGATCTGTGTTGTCACATAGGGCCTGAGGTGACGGTCCAGGGACTGTCTTCTCCCTCAGGACTATCTCACTGGGTCTCTTGTCTCTCCTCCTTCCAGCCTGTCCCTTCCTGGATTGTTCCTGAGTGTCTTGAGTTGTCTGCCTGAAACTGGGGTGCCAGGATCAGGGCTGGTTTCTCTCCGGAGGGTGGTCCAGCACAGAGCCCGGCAGGGGTGAACGGGGCTTTGGAATAGAAAACATGTAACAACATAAAGTTCTATTCTTAAAGAAAACTGCCCTTCCCATGGTGTTATGCAAGAGCTTGATGACAATTAAGTGCTGAGTCTCAGACCTGGGACCCTCTGCCCAGGTAGCACCTTTAACTGACTCTCCCCGCCCCCTCTTACAGTAAGCCCAAGTTCGTAGGGTATACAGGGACCTTAGGAGCTGTTGAAGGGAAGGTTCCCCAGTCTACTGAGATCAAAGCCATCCTTGAATATCCTTTGTCTCACCTCCCTGCTAATCCCCAGTGCTCCCCCAAAGCTAAGCACATGGATGGGCAGCTAGTGAAAGCAGCTTTTCTTGAGGGCCCAGGAAGTTTAACTGAACAACAAACACACCAGGCTGCAGCAGGCCAATGTGGAGTCACATATCAGGCGAGAGAGCGGCCATGGAGAAGCAGGACAGGTTCAAACATGGGAGACCAGAGAGGGGGCACTTCGGGAACCATGCCTGGTGTTTTCACTCCCCCTTCCAATCACAGTCTACCTTTGAGACCTGCAAGAGGTGGGTGGCTCTTAGGAATGATGAGTTCCCAAGTGCTGGGGGCTGGAATGTCTATCTAGGTTGAGAAAAACAGTTAACTCAGTAAGAAATCAAAAGTAACAGGAGAAATTCACAAGAGGGAGGAAACTGAGTCTGCCAATTTGTCAGGTCTGGGCTAGTAAAAGGCCACTCCAGCCTTCTCTTCAAGGAACCAGTCTGCCTGGAGCCAAGGAATGAAGGAGACAGGAAGCCAAATGTGGTGGTGCATATCTGTAAGATACCTGAGTGAATTTCAGCACTCAGATGGAGGCCAGAGAATCGGTTCAAAACCAGCCTCAGCTCCATCCTGAGTTTGAGGCCAGCCTGGGTGACACAAGACCCTGTCTCAAAAACAAAACAAACAAAAAACAAGAGAGATGAGACTCATTTTACATGTCTCTCCCACATACGTACTTCTTGGCCCAGACCAGGCCCTTCAAGACAACACAAGGACCTAGCCCTGCATATCCCCGTCAAGAAGCCTCCCATGCTCAATACAAAGTTTCACGATGTTGGACAAGTACAGCTTTGACTATCAGCTAGACTTGGGATGATAGACCAAAGAGGGACTCTCCTCCCATTCAAAGATGCTTGCATCCTCACCCCAGAACCTTTGTCCTACCTTTCTTACTAGAGGTCAGGGCTATCAGGGTTGGGTCAGGTATTTCTAGGTTCTTGACCTCTTATCCAAAAAATTGAAAATAAGGGCTCATGCCAATTTGCAAAACATAAAAATAGCAAGTAACTTTAATCAGAGCGAAGTGATGGTACAGATTAGAGGGACACACTGTCACGGCGGAGGATACTCAAGGCTCCAGTGATTGTTCAGGGCTTCCTTTTATGGTACCCAAAAGAATGAAGCGTTTGTTTCTAAGAGGCGGAGTGAGAATGGCTCTGTTTTAACTGATAGGTTTGGTCATCTAATCATCTTTCTGCTGTGCATACCCCTTCCCATAATGCATCTGACTTTCATCATATACACCCTGTTATGCACAGGCATAAGACGGTAAAAATAGAGGACTCTCCCTAAAAGCTTACTCCAGGATACAGTTTTGCCTTACCTTGCATGTACATCCAAGACCAGTTGAGGTCTGACCAGCCTTTCCATTCTTCATACCAAGACACATTGGGAATATATTTGAATAGAAACTGTCTAATTATTGTTTGGTAAAGAGGAATGCATCCCATTGTTTCAGGAGAGTGTGTGCAACCCGACACAGGTGGTGAGCCAAGGTTGCTAGCTACCTGGTTACAGAGGGATGTGCATAGTATGTGCATGTAAGGGAGCTAGGCCACTTATTGTTACTAGAAGAGGGGGGTGTGCCTAGTCTATACCAGAAGAGCCCCAAGTTACTGAACTCTTCCCTAGACTGCCTGCTTCACCTTACCTGGCAAAGGAGCTTTGAAAACACAATTGGCTTGAGGACCTTAGGGAAGAAAAAGCAGGATAATACAGTAAAACCAAATTTGATTCCCAGCACCAACATCCAGCAGCTCGCAACCACATGTAACTCTAGCTCCAGGGCATCCAAGACCCTCTCTGGGTACTGTACACATGTACACATTTGGGGTGCCACACAGATATGCTGCCATACACATAGTTCAAAATAAAAATAATTTGTTTTTATTTAGGAAGCCAGAGTCCAAGAGGTTGGAAGTACCATCCATTTCTCTCCCTCCAAAAAGTCCATATCCCACTTGCCTACTACTCAGTCTGAGAAATCCTAGAGGCAAGAAGCAACGGGACCTTCTTAGCACAGTGTTTCCCTTATCTGGCCTCAGATGATTTTTCACAAAGAACTGTTTGAGAAGTGACCCTCCACACTGCAGCTTCTGAATCTGACCCAGATGGAAGGCATGAGGGGCTGAAAGAGCAGCTTGATAAGTACTGGGTGTGAGGAGGGCAGCGAGGGAGGGAGGCATGGGGAAAGGAGGAGAGAAGGGATTCTGTGTTCGGATTTCCCCACAAAGCAGTCCTCAGCATTGGAACTGGGTAGAAGTGGCTCGTTTGAGAGGCAACCCCAGGAAGCAGGTAAAGGAAGTGGGATGAGGAAGAGAGGAGATTCAGCAAAGGGCACATCTGTGAACTGTACCACCCTGAGCCAGTCCCATAGGGGATCCTGAGAGACAATGCAGAGCATACCTCAACTGTCCACAAGCTGTTGCCCCTGCTGGCCCTTGGTTAGTCAGAGCTTGGCCTGGCTCTTCCAACGCGCCCACACTGCCAGCAGCGCATGCTTCTGCGGCTGATAAATCTCAAGCATGAGGCATGAAGAGCCTTAGCAGGTGGCATCCACAGCAGGCTGGGGACAGGGCATGGAGATGCAGGTGCTCACGTGCCTTGCCTTTGCATTGGTCTTGGGGTCAAAGCAAGGACACTCTGGCTCTTCAGGGATGCCAGCCCCTACCATGCTCCTCCAGCCACTCAAGGGCACTCTAGGGAGTGATGCCCTGTGTCTAAGAACGAGGCCCTATGACCTACCATGTGCTACCTGGCCTTTTCTGGCCAGGAGATGTTAGTGCTGGTGACTGCTCCGTCACCCCCTACCCCACCAGATCCTGCCTGAAGATAGCAGCAATCTCTGAGCTGGAAGGTCTCTGCAAACAACCCTAGCCACTACTATAGAAGGTTTCCTATCTGAGGTGTCAAGGTACAAGGACAGCAGATTCTTTCTGGACCAGGCACACTATTAGAAAACATGGATTTTAAAATGAACACATGGAGCTGGAGATGGCTCAGTGATTAAGAGCGCTGGCTGCTCTTCTAGGGACCCCAGGATCAATTCCTAGCACCCACATGGCAACTCACAACTGCCCATAACTCTAGTCCCAAGGGATACAATGCCCTCTTCTGCCCTCCATGCTCACCAGGCACACATGTACACACAGGCAAAACAAACACATTTAAAAAAGAAAAAATTACATTGAATTAAAAATGAGCATACAAGCCAGACATGGTGGCACATGCCTGCAATCCTAGCACTCAAAAGGCTGAGGCTACTGTTCAAGGCCAGCCTGGGCTATACAGTAAGATCCTGACTCAAAAGAAGAAAAGAAAATGAAATAGGAAATTAACGTCAGGGTTTAGATGGAGAATTTATTGGCTACCATAGAGCAAGAGAAAAGTCACAATTGTTCCCAAAACAAGTGCTATCATTAAGCAGAGGGGCAAGTGCTGGGACTGTCCATTGGTCAATTCTAAAGATGTCAGGACTGCTGGTACAAAAGTTCCTGCCTTTCTCGGGTTTACGGTTTATCCCTGTTAGACGGCAGGTACTGACAGACGGTCACCTTAGCTGCTATCCCTCCTGCTACACAAAGGGCCCAAGAATTGGTCCAAACAGGAAGGAACAACAGCTGGACTCTTGGCCCTCTCTGTGGCCACCAGGCATACCAGGCCCCTACGGAGAGGCACACGTTCATCAGCAGCCCATCATGCTGCATTTCTCTGAGTCTGCATCCAGTCTTCTCCAGATGCACTCCACCAACTCCAGAAAGAAAGCCAAGAGCTGCAAGACTTTAAATGCCTTTACCTGCAAGCCCAGACTGGGTCCCAGTCCCACTGTCCCCCAGAGGAACAGTCTGGCTTCCTCTTGGTCTCGACTGGTTCAAGCAGCAGCTGCACCTTCAGTGTACAGTTATGGCCTGCAAAGTGAAGATATTTTTCTGATCCAATAGAGATGGCTTTGTGCTCTGTGGTCCAAGACATCCGCTCACATGGACAAACACTTCAAAAGAGTTAAAGCCACCATGTCTCTCTCCCTGGGGCACGAACACTCAGTAACTCCAAGGGCCCTGTTCCTCACACAAGGACAGGAGACAGTGATGGGGCCTACGAAGCCCAGCTGGGTGCCCTTGGCCTCACTCAGCACAGGGCAAAGTGTCCAAGTCCCAAAAGTCTTTTTTCTGACACAGAATGACAAAAACTGGCAGCAGTCTGGGAAGGGTCTTCATCCTCAATGACACTGGCACCATCCAAGGGCCAATTCGGGATTCTCCTATGGACACTGAAATCCAGATGACAAAATGGTAGAGGCTACAGCACCTTCATGCCAGGAAACACTGGGCTCAGGGCAAATAACAGATGTGTGCCAAAGACTAGTGATGTCGATCCTCCTTGAACCTTGCCTGGTAGTGAAATGTGATAGAGTCCACATACTGCCAGCTCCTCTCACAAAGACATGGGGGGCTGGAGCTCAGAACAGCAGGCCTAAACAGAAACAGCTGGGGGGAGGGGCAGCCCAAGCCAGGTGTCTGATGGTGCCAGCTCCCCTATGCACTGGCTATATGACCTTGAAGAGTCCCTGCACCTCTCCGAGCTTCAAATCCTTACCTATGATGGAAGACTGCTCCCTTGGCCCACTGGGTGGCCTGATGCATAGCAGCTAGACCACCAGCAGGGACACAGAGAAGGGTTTCAGCCTCAGGAAGCCACCAGGAGGGGCACCAGGGGGAATGTGTGCTGCAAGGATCTGATGACAAAAGCCATCTGTCCCAAAATGAAAAGAACATAACAAAAATAGATCTGACCAGGTAACAGACGCTCCTGAGAGTAGATTCTTCCAAATGCTTCTAAACAGCTCATGTGGCCCTTCTGGGCTCCTCCTGACACTGTCATGTAGACTGCGGCCATGTCCAGTCCTACAGGCCATGCTTCCAATTGTCTGGAGTTAATATTCGGGCCCGGTTTTGTTCAAAGAGTTCTAACATTTTCTCCAAGTCGTGGTCAGCCTCAATCACCTAGAAATAAAACAAATGGGTCAAGGGCTACACTGAAGTGACTCCACCCTCCCTGGGGCTGTACAAGAGGCTGAGGGGCCAAGAAGGTCAAAACCACACAGCTCCAAGCTCCAGAACAGTCTACACTCTCAACTGAATTTTTACCAAAGAATCCATCCCATCATCCATGCCTTTTCTTTTCATTGGAACTGGGAGAAAGGAGATTGTGTTGGGAACTAAACCCAGGGACTCAAACATCTAGACAAGCTCTCCGACGCTTTGCTAGGTCCCTACCCCCCTCAGGTTTCCTCTTCACAGTGAAGGAAAACACTCTGGAAGTTCCCACAGTGAAGATGTCCTTTGCCACAGCCTCGCCACCAGCTTCTTGGGTCCAGAATGTATATGTGGCCTACAGCCCAAAGCCATAAATAAAAACTCATCATCCCCTATTAAACATGTGACTGTCTCAAGTGGTGACTGACTGCCTAAGGTAATTTAGGAAGAGCAAACTGAAACACAAGGCATAAGGAGGAGGGCATACTGGTAGGAGGACACATCACCTCTGAGCTACAAGGAGTTACTGCAGTCAGCCCAGGAGGTCAAAGGCGGCAGCAGTGTGCCACTTCTACGCCCTCGGTACCTCCTGAGGGTGTAGGTGTGACACCCAAGAACAGACAACCACTGACATGCTCTCTGAAGACACTGAGTCACCTAACCACGATGAACGGGCTCTGCGTCACCCACCAAAGAATGGGGACCATCATCCCCAAAGGTCCAAACTCAAACCCAGGTCCAGAGGTAGCTAGGGTACCTCTTTGTAGTGATGCTGTGTGGGTAACGTGTTACTAAAATAACCAGCCTTTTCTCAAGTCTGTTCAAGTCCCTGTGAGACTGTCCAGAAATGGGGGCAGAGAGAGAAAGAGCTCTTTTCTGTGGCGTGGGTGACAGTCTCTGAGCCTTCCTCCCCATAGGAAAGTCTCTGCTCCAGGAGGGACAATGACTTACCAGAACAGGGGCTGCAGCTGGAAAAAGGCTACCAGTGACCAGCCACTCCTCATAGAGGTGATGAATAGCACTGAGGTATTCCTGCCACAGAAACACAAAGGCAGTGGGGAGTGGGAAGGGAGAAAAGCCCGCCCACCCAGGGTCTCACAGGCCCACATGGCAGGTCAGAATTCTCAAGGACTGTTAGGAAGTGACATGAACGAGGGTCCCTGTAACAACCAGCGTGGCTGTGTGAACAGCCTGTGGTTGAAATAGCAGTGCACCCCCAACCACCCACTGCTCGTCCCTCGCCAAGTTTAAAAGCCCGCCTCCCGACCTGGCATCTCCCATTTCTTGACACTTCTCTATGGGAGACCCCGTTCCACCATGTGGAAGTGTACAGCTGTCAATGACAGGTGTCCCGGCACTCAGCAGCCACTACACCTTCCCTCTGGCTTGTCACCAAAAGGGTCGAATTCCTTACTAAACTCTCCCTGTAGACTACTCATTATAGAGACTGTCCAGCCCATAAGGACCACTCCTGTGGGGAGCACAAGGGGAAGGAGACAGATGCCCCCAAGCCAGGTTACCTCCATGCACTCCCAGGCATTCAGCCCATGTATGCGAGCTGCCCAGACCACCTCCTCCAGGAATAGTCTGCCCTCCATCCCAGAAGCTGGCCCACAAACCATGCTGCCACCTTCTTACACACCACTGGACACCCCCTGAGTGTCCTTGGCCCAACCATTAGTTCAAGCCCTTGGACAATGGCTTGGAAGGACTCCAAACATGACATTTCCTGGGAACATCTGAGCTGTTGAAGAGAGCACAGAAATGCCAAGCCCATCACAGCATGGCCTAAGCTCAGCTCCATGGTGCTCCATCCTCTATCATTCCTGTCTCTGAGATTTCAAAGGACATGCCTAGAGCAGGCTTGGACCATCATGGCTGATCCAAGGCAAAACTCAGCTGAGCTTTAGGGATTAGACAGACCTCTCAGGGCCCCCAGCCAAGCCCATCTTGAGTCCAGAGCACCATGGTGTCCCAAAAGAGCTTACCAAGCCCCTGTCTATCCTTCAAGGACAACTGTCCACATAAGGTACACAGT